AATCATGTTGAGTTAAGTCTAGTCACCCTCTTATAAACTGCGCGAAATACCCGTGGTAAGAAGCCGAGCCCAACCCGGCAGCATGCGACTCAAACATAAGTGCAATAGTAGTGAAAGTCATATTCATGTCCATGTCAACAGTGACGATATGTATATGTGTGCGTATATATATATATATATAGAATGAGAGGAGGGAGAGAGAGAGAGAGAGAGAGAGACGGATGGATGAAGGGACGGGTTGATGGGTACAAATGAGGGGGAGGAAGGGAGGGAGAGAGAGAGAGAGGGATCCAAGCAAAATACAGGAGAGATTGGAAAGACCACATATGTCATCGAAGAGATCTGCCAGGCTTTTTGCTTCGGATTTCAGCGTTCTCAGACCGCTCAGGGGGCAGAGAAATGCGAAGGTGAAACTTCTTCTGCTGCCTCCGCATTCGGGAGGAGCTCCAGGGCCAAGCCTGTCGCAACTGGATCGCTCCAACACCTGCCGGTTTCTTATCTCGTTTTAATCTGAGACCCTCTCCTTCCGGGTCCGGCCCGGTTTCCGATCGGGAACTGAGAAAGGAGCGTACTCCGAAAACTCGCAGGATGACACGCAGTCTGCTGGACCTTTGAAGCTGTGGGGCTGTGGTCATAGATTCTCTATGAGAATGTCTCGACCCGAAGGCAGACCGCCCCAAATCCTCCTGCTGCGCTGCTCTAGAGACTCCAGAAGCAGCAAGAACTAACAAACTCGAGCATCGGAGGTCTGGGAGAGGGTTTTCGGCTGCCTCTCTCGTTCCTGGCAGGAACTTGAGATGTTCCACTTCACTTCACCGTAAGAGTGACACTTTTTCCGGTTGCAGCATCTCGCCCACACCTCCGGCCCATTGACTGCAGGTGGCAACATTGAAGAGCAAAGGCGTACCCCAGGGTAGTTGGAGGACAACTAGGGTAAAAAGGACCTTAGTGGGGGGCTACGACAAGGTACGACTGTGACTGTGACGAGAGTTACCCTACTGATGACCCTACCCAGCCCTACTTATCACGTCCTCTGTACCCCAGAGTAGCGACCACAAGGCGAAGATTGGCGATTGGTCGAAAGCCACCCCAGCCACCAGCTGCCAGACACCATCATTTTAGTGGAACTTATCACCGAGTGGGACACGTGGGTTTGCGTGGGTTTCGCTTCAATTGCAACTCAGCAATGGCATCATGAATAATTACCATCAGGATTGTCACAACAGCCAATCCTAGCGATGGAGTGCCCGTTGCGGAGCTGGCAGCTGTAGACCATTAGGTTCTTCGATGCTATGCGTCACTGGACATCTCACGGCGGGCCTGGTCCCAAAGTCAGAGTTGCGGCAGCTGCAAGTTCAACGCTTAGAGCTGACTGCTTGGTTAAGCCACTGGATTTCACCACGCTTGATGCTTAATAACAGCTGAACCAATCAAAAAGGTTCGTTTCATGCAATGCTGTCATTTTGCAAGAAATGCAATTCTTCGCATCTCTGGTTCTTACTAACTTGCTCTCTGCAACTTGCCTCAAACAAACGCAGCGAACTTGCGCAAACAGCATGGACAAATCGCATAGATTCACTATCAGTCATGTTTCCCGTTTCCCTTTCCCTCTGGCTTGCCCCAAGTTCCACGCAACTAAAGCAAGCACACCCACAATCTCTCTGTCCCGAGGCCGCAGCCTGCACCTGCGAGATGTCAACAGCCTTAGTATGATTTTACCTTCACTCTACAACCACATCTGTTGCAGATTACCACTCTGTTACTGCTGCCAAACCAAAACTGCGGCCACAACACCACCAGCACCAGCACCAGCACCACCACCACCACCACCACCACCACCGCCACCGCCACCGCCACAACCACTACCACCACCACCACCACAAACACAACCACGACCACCACCACGACCACCATCTCCACGACTGCTGCTGCTGCTGCTGCTGCTGCTGCTGCTGGTGCTGCTGCTGCTGCTGCTGCTGCTACTACTACTTCTTACTGCTCTACCCCCACCACCTCCGCCACGACGACGACGACAACCATTACTGCTAATGCTAGTAGCAGAGAAGGGTTGCTGGGACCTGCAGCCACAGCCTTCCTTGATTCCTTTGTCTTCACCCCAGCTCGGACTCGGACGCTCGATGTCCAAGATTGCCATCTGCGAAAGCGGCCGGCTGCAGGAGGCCGGCATGCGGGTGTTCCGCACCAGCCTTAAACTCAAAACATGACATTCAAGAAAATCTGGCAGGGGACAGGATTCACAGCTGCACCTCATCCCCGTCGAAATTGCACAACCCTCAGTTTTCTGTGGTTCTTGTTCGGGCTTGCTCTTGGGGTTGGGACGAGCGACTTCCTCAAGGTCCTCGACACACCCAGGTCGTGGTTGGACACCTCCTGGGAAGGTAAACTCCTGTATGACAAAAACTAGAGATACTAACCGCTCTGGTGAGTTGCGACCCATGCATGCCACGTCCGTTGGAGTACATCATTAGCAAAGCCAACTCCTGCCTTTGCCTACATGCTGCCATCTACACCCTGCGTCCATCAGGAGTATTGTTGTTCTCCATTTCCTCGAGTAGGATCTTTCTGCAAGAGCTGGCACCAACAGCAGCAACAATAGATCTGCATAGTAGCAACAGTAGCTGTCGTCGCCGTGCAGCAACAGCAGCAGCAGCACGGGCCGTAGTAGTAGCAGTAGCAGGATTTGCCGCCGTCGTTGCAGTTTTTGTCACCTCGAGTAGTAGCAGTAGTAGTCGTAGTAGTAGTTTGGCTTCCGCACGGCAAAGTCCGAAGACGTAGTAGTAGCACTAGTAGTAGTAGTAGTAGTAGTAGTAGTAGTAGCAGTAGTAGTAGATGATGATAGTAGTCGTCGTCCTAGTCGTCGTCGTCGTGGTGGGAGTAGTAGTCGTCGTCGTCGTACTAGTAGTAGAGCAGTAGTCGTCGTTGCGACGGTGGTGGCAACACTGATTCGCGTGATACTTGCTTTTTGATGACATCTGGCAGCCACCGTTGTTGTTACATCCTCAGCTGCTCTTCACGAACTAAGTACTCGGTTCTCGGCCCCGCCTCGGTTCTCGACCAATTCTTGCTGGTCATGTTGAGGGCCTGGGAGCGGGGACCGATGCGCAGGGCCCCGAGACCGTACCTGCTCGTTCTTACATTGCTTTTTCTCGTTTAAGTTGCAGCCCCAGACTGGCATGAGGCACAGCGGGTTCTTGTACTTTTTGCCTGCAGCACGTTGGTGCCTTGCAGCTGGCTCTAGCTATGAACTTTGTTGAAGTCGGACCCTGACCCAGCTTCTCTGCATGCTCCAGGAGTGGAGTGCTTGGCTGCTCCCATCTTCGTCCACCACCTCCGGACGTCGGTCTACATTCTGGCCCCTCTCTGGGTCCATGGTACAGTACATTACACATACAACAGGGTACCATCAAAACGAGTTCGAAAAGTCGTCTGGAAACAACTTCCAAACAAGCCAAGCTCATCCTGAACACGACGGGACAGCTTCTGTGGCCCCACTACCGTCCACAATCCGACGACATCAACTTCCCAGGCGGGCCACATAGTGTCCACTACCCAGGTTGGTGATCTTCGCATGTTCCAAGCCTCAGGTTTTTTCAGGGGTTCTTCTGTCCTGTTCGGCTTGCTACATGAACTCCAGACCCTCCTCTGCGGTGGGTAAAAATTGAAAAGTCCAGTTTAATTAAGCTTCTTCCACATCCCTTTTATTGGACTCCGCCCGGCAGCAGGAGAAAAACACGCTGCGAGAGCGAACAGCCATGGTGAACGAGGCAAGGTCCGCAAGGTTCACCGTAACCTCGCGCTCCAGTACGATTCAGTACGATGAGAGTTTCGTCTCGGAACTGCTCCGAGACCTCTTGAACAAAACTCGGCAGCACGAGGAGATAAGAGACAAGCCGCCTGATGCGGCAGCGTGCTTACCTGAGCAGGAGCAGACTCTGCGCATGAAAAGCCCAGCTCCAGAAAAACGGCTCGCGGGGTCTATCACCGGGATATTTACACCAGATTCTAGTGATTCCGCACCTGGCAAGCCTCATGCCTGCAACTCTCTTGTCGGGCTGAAGGTGACGTTTCTAGGACAAGCACGGACCAGGAACATAGACAGGAAGGTTACGAGAATCCAGAACCCCTAACACCACGCGCCCGAGCAGCCGCCAGCTGGGTCCACGTGATTTCCACCAGCTCGACCAGCAGAGTCCTTGATTGGTGAGCACCTAATTATGTTATACATCTATGCATTGTATTTGAACATATATATATATATATAGATTTTTTTGCATTGGTATACCCACATGTGCTTCTCTGCCTCATGGTTTGTGCCTCCTACTCAGGCTCTTGGGTTTTGCCATCACGGTCTACTGTCTGTGGCCCAGTGAGGGTTCCGTGGTCGATGGTCTTCCGTTCTCAAAGGGCAGCGAAACCAGCAGATGGATCGACCCTCTGAAAACCTCCAAGGATCAGCATCGAGTCCTGGGTCACATGGTCACATGGCACCCGCAACAGAGCTTTGGGACAGAATCCAGGCATCGGCGGGGATCACGAGATCAAGGGGATAGAGGAAACAGAACCTGTGGCTTCTGGCAGCTCGTCATTGCGAATAGCTGAGCCCTCACTCCATTTGCGAGGACAACACTTACAGTATCACTTACAGTCTCTGACTCAGCTTCAGCAGAGTCTCCAGACCCACTCGCGTGTTCCTCAGGTTGCACAGTCCCTCGCACTCAACACCCTCTCGCAATCACAAGTCGGCACTCTGCGAAATGACCTGCGATGCAGACCACGACAAAAAAGCTGCAGCCTGGTCTCTTATGCGCATGGGCAAAGCCTCAGGGCGCATCAGGTATTCCAAATTTGGGCGGGATAAGAGTCGGCATCATGGATTCTTTTGCGACAGGTATCAGCGCACGGGGATGCTCCGATTCGAAAACCTCTGCTCGAGCCTCTCCGACTCGAGCTTGACAAGTAGTGATGAGTCATGACTAGTGGTGCGGCTTCGCGTTCATCCTCCGAGCCCCGACACATTGTGAGCCCAGCTGCAGTCCGGGAGATAGCTGAAGAGGCAGGCATGATAGTGGATGCCATCTGCCAGAAAGAACTCCTTGGAAAAGCAACGACGCGGCGGACCCAGAGCTGAAAACCTGGATTTGTGTGGCTTTTTGACTTACCGAATCATGAAGACCCCTCGTTTCCGCCGAGGTGCTCTCCTACCGATGAAGGAGTCACTAACTACTTTCACAAGCATTCAGGCTAGGGAGGATCAACTTGTGCAGAAGCTGCGGTGATGCTTTCCCTGTCGGCAGCATCCATGCTTGCCCAGCTCGCCAAAACCTCGCGGATGCGTTCTGAGGCTGGCATTCAACAAGCTCAGGCTTCAAGACATGTGCGGACCTTCACTGTGAAGCAACCACATGCAGAGCATCAGCGGCTCAAGCTTCTTAAACAGTGAAACTCTCGGGCATCTTGAAGCCTTTGCCAGAACAGTGCTAGGATTCTGAACTCTAGACTCTAAACTAGACTAGAAGGCATTCTCACTTCCTGCCAAGAGGCGCCGCGAAGGGCATCGTACCCTCCTGGGCCGGGTGGGTTCACTTTATTTTTCCGTAGAACGCGCTGGGCCCAGGAGACGGCTTCTGCACAGATTCAGCAGCTTCTCCGCATGTGTCTCGACACAGCCACGGCAAATACGAAACAGAAATAGATGCATACAATAAATAGAGAGAAATATCTTGCGAGGGGGGAAGAGTCGGAAATCGCCGTGCGAGGAAACAAAGATAAACAAAGCTCACTCCAGAAATATCTGGGTACGGATGCCGGCCATGTGACGCGTGCGGCAGATGCACGCAAACCGGAGCAAGGCCAAGTCCTGTCGGTGTACTGAGACTCTCATCTTCTGAAGCACGTATCGAATCCCCTCTGCCCTAGAAAACATCGCGTATCGTACCTGCTGGAATACACCCTCAAAGCGTGCCTCCAGGGTGGTGCTTGGCAGGTCCAGCATCAGACCCCAACTGCACAAGTAGCCTCAGCTTTGAATCCCATGCTCATGGCCGCCTGCACGCGTGTCACCGAGTTTGCTATGACGAAGCCAATTGCAAACTGCCAATCATCGAAGAAACAGGCGATGGTAAAGTCAGGTCGTATCCGGGTCACTCCAGTAGACCTCCTGGCACGTCCTCGCCTGCAGGTGCCTGAGCGCCTGCAACAGATAGCATGGCAGCATGAGCCTCTCCGATGTTGGTTGAGGTGTCGAGTTGCTAAGACTACGTGTGCACCCAAGCGTGGGGAAAGAGAGTCTCCGAATGCACACGAGCCTCCAGACCGAACAGAACGCTCTGGCAAGCAACGTCGTCCAGGAAGGGGGAGCCAGTGCAGCCTGCAGCAAGAGGAACGAACACACGTTGCTCAAGACGCATAACTTTATCGGCAGCAAACTAGGCAAGCAAATAAGCAAACCCGGCGACTGCTGTGCAACGTCGCTTGCAGCCTCATCAACGCCTCCACAAAGCAGCAGCAGCAGCAGCAGCAGCAGCAGCAGCAGCAGCACCGTCTTCATCAGAACCCCAAGATCAACACCATCATCACTGTTGTGAGCCGAGCGCGAACGATATCCGAGAAATTCGCAAAGATCTTCCAGCCTTCTCGTGCTCCGATTCCGGTCATCATAGCCAGAGCGGAGAAGAGGAAAAGCTGGTAAGCGGAAACGTCATTGTTCTCCAAAGCCCTCGGTGGAGCGGGATCTATGCGGCACGTACAGAGGGTGGGAGGGTGGGCGAGTCAAAGGATCAGGTGTCGCCGGATCATCCTCGTGCTCTATCTCTACTCTGTAAGGTGCCTGCCTTAGAATGCCGAGGCCCAGGCTTCTGCTGTAGCAGCTGCAAGCTCAGTGGGGTGTTCTCGGCCTGTGAAGAGGGGGTTGTTCCATCCAGCGTCATATCAGGGAGTCTGCACGACAACACTACTTAACGTCGCACAGAGCCACAATCCGCAACGACTTGCTTCGGCAGCTTCAAAGCACAAAGAACGACAAAAGACACTACTGCTGCACGCTGCAACCAAAAATCAAGGCTCAAGGGCAAGGGTTGAAAAAGCAAAAGCTGCCCGAGCCAGCCTGAAGGAACTGCCCGAACATGAAGCACTCGTGCATACTCAGTTGCGATGTGGCGGATTGAGGCAGTAGCAGAATACTTACCGCTGTTGGATTCTGGCAGGCGCACTGTGGGCTCTTCATACACCAAGCTCGAAGACAAAGGCACAGTTCGGTGCTTCTAACGATCATAAGGATCCAAATATGCACTGCAAAGAACTCATCGAACACTCGCACCAAAGCCAGGCGCCGAGGCACCTCGACACTGAGATCAGCAGCTCAAGAATCCCCTCGTCGAGCTGGAGCACTGATGGCCTGGGCACAACGGGTTGGTGGTCCAATCCAAGGCCGGGGTAGTTGGGGCACAAAAGCTTCTGAACACCTCTTGCCCAGCGGCACGACATTGCGGTTCCTTTCCAGCAGCCGCGTCCTGGGACTTTCGAGTGGTTGAGCAGCCTCACTGCACCTCCTGTGATCTCCTGCACTGGGGCACAACAACCTTAACATAGCCGAGCAACACTGCTGCGTCCGGCTGCTGCGATTGGCTAGGGAGCTGCAGGGTCAAGTTCCTCGGATTCCGTGCTTCGAGCCCCCTGCAACAGAAGGCTCCACAAGCCGAAAACGCCACTTCCGAGCTCTGGCCCAGCTGCTTGGAGCGGCCAAGGCCTAGCAGCGATCTCACGCATGCTGGTAAGCTCGGTCGTTAGCTCACTACGTGTCTTGACGAGCTTCGGAACCTGTCACGGATGATGTGGAGAGCACAAGAATCTCCCACCAACACTGATCCAGAAGTGACACCGAAAGGGTCGAGAGGCTCAAGATAACAGCAAACCATGTCCCTGCAAAGTGCTGCTCACCAAGGCTTCAGGTTGGAGCAGCCCTATTTGTGCAACTCCACAAAAGGGGAAGGCTTCGTGTTCGCAGGCAATCGTCCCCAGCCTTTGACAGCCAAATATACCAGAATGCCTCAGGCAGGTTTGGGCAAAAGCCTCCGCTCTGTCGCATAATCATAAACGTAATCTTGACTTGCAAGCTCACCGGGCCAACAACAACAACAACCTGCTAGTACTACTCTGCGGCTGCTGCTGCTGCTGCTACTACTACTTCTTCGACGAGCGGGTAATCTTCAACAATTCTTTGGGCAAGATTGCCATCTTGCCCCACTTGCCCCACTTGGGGGGAGGCAAGATTGCACGCAAGCTTGGTCAATCTTGGTCTGAAGAGGTAAACTAGTCGGCAGGCAAGTGGGGCAAGATTGCAAGATTAGCAAGATTGCTGGCAGTTTTGCTGTTGGACCAACATTGACCCAGATTGCAAGATTGCCAAGACGTTTCCACAACATAACTGTTCCAAATTCCCCGCACAACGTACTGCTACCAACACCACCACTACCACCACCACCACCACCACCACCACCACCACTGTTACTACTCCTCCTACAGACTACAACAACCAACAACGTGGGCATGCTGCGGACAGGCCTCATACTTGCAGCATCTCATACGCGCGCTTACTTTACCCCACGACAAATTATTATTTTCATCCAAATTCTGCCGCGATGCCGTGGATCCACTCGATCTTGTCCCGGATGCCGATCCCCGTGACGAAATCCTGTTTTGCTGACTACTGTCGGGGCTTGCGGTACAGCAGCGGATAACTGTTCCTAACCAAGCCTTGAATGGTTTTCTTGATCGCGATCTAAGGCGAATCATGCCAGGCAACTGTGCCAACACAAGAAGAAAAGCGAATTCCTCTGACCTGCCAAGCCCCAGTTTTGTTTGCATGAGGAGGCCTCGTCACAGACATAGTTACTGCACGATGACAATATGTCCCGCTTCTACTCCTGCTCCTTCTCCTTCTCCTACACCTACTCCTCCTCCTACTACTACACCACCACCACCACCACCACCACCATCACGACGACGACTACTGCACTACTCCTGCTGCTACTGCTGCAGCTGTCAGATCCACTACCACCACCTTCAGCATTCCTGGGCATGTCGCAGTTCAAGCACAGGGGGACCCAATGCCGCGGCACCATGGCCTGCAGCTTCTTCCAATTCGCTTTCGTCATGCGCTCGTTGGGTGCCTGGCAGTCGAAATGCCAGGAAAACTCGAAAGGGATCCCCCCGCAGAATCCGCGTGGTCACTGAGGCGACAGCAAAAAAAGCCCCAGCCCCTACACAAGCGCTTCGGACTTGGCCGGCGCCTGGCTCTTGACAAACTCATCAAACTTGTCCGTTGCCAGCCAAAAGACACCTCGGGTACGGCTTCTCTGGTTTTGGAACCCGAAATGCTGCTGTATCGCTTGAACACACAAGATGCCGACTTGCACTGCAAACCACGAGGTTGACAGCTCAGCGACTCGTGAGCACCAAGCGACACAGCATGCAGGACAGCGCGCGATGCCGCTCGTTCTCGGAGGAGAAGCGCGCGTGTGTGCCCAGAGTCTGGTGCAGCTCTGGAAATAGCCTCTCAAAAAGTGTTGACTATGCACTGCAGCTCTTAATCTTGCAAGCTTCGACTGCCAGATTCGGGCGTTCTATTGCCTTCTGCACCCAAACCCTAAACATGAAACAATCACCCCGCTCCGGGCTGCCTTTCAAGCTCCTTCATGATCTCCTCGCCTCGGTCAGTCCGGCCAGGTGCGATGTTGAACGCAGTGCATCGGCACAAACTCCCGAGCATCAAGCAAGCCGAAGAACCCTGAGCAAGACATCAATATTAGCACTACCACCGCTGTTTCTGTTTCTACTGTGACTGCATTTTTGTAACTGTCAAGACTCCGAACCTTGGAACTCCCAAAGCCCTCTAAGAGCTCGGCCGGAGGTCAGTTCTCCGCTCAGAACCTTGCGTATCAGTTCCTTGGTGTCCTTGGCTGCTCGAGCTTTCAGGACTTCGGTGCCCGGGATCTCCAGCTTTCGGATTCCTAGCTTTCCTTGTAGGCCTTGCTGATGAGCCCAAATCTCTGTAGCTACTGTAGCTATCTCCCCCTCGTCCGGGTCACTGCTCCGCTTGGGTACGGCTTGGGCAGAAAGAAGAATTGCAGCAGCCGGTCCTGAAAGCTGAGTGTGCAAGGCGGACGCTTCCATAACACTTCTGTCCCTGCACATGAATGCAGAGTCGGCATGGTCAACAGCCGATCCCGGATTCACTTCCTCTCCCGTGTAGGGCCATGGAAACACTACATTGTCACTACATGATCAGCACGCTGCAGCCAGGGCAACACCGAACACAGAAGACGCCTTCGTGAGGTTTTTGAGCTGGAAAGCATCGGTGGCTTCCTTTGCGCAAGACACTTCGTAAAGAGCATGCAAGCAAGATCAGACCTTCCATAGATCAAGGGTGCAGGGGCATCACGGGGCCACAGTCCGAATGCAAGGGAAGAGAGAGACGACACTACCTTCAGAGGCAGAGACAATCCAATGAAGCCCAGATGCACAGCACTCCCTTCGAACCGGCACTGGCAGTGTCTCCTCTGCCAAGAACTCCTGACCGTGTTTTGATGTTCCCATGGTGATTAGAGTTAGGCTTGAAGATGTCACTTGGCCCAAGGAAATGACACTGTCCGGCACTCCGCTACCCTTGAATTGAAGTTAATCTTGGGCACTAAGCGAACCACTCCGCACTCCTAAGCGCATGCTCCTCCGCATTCAGCTTGGACTGGAGGCAGCGCGCATATTGATACACATAGCCACAGCATTCCGGAAATTCCTTCGAGGATCAAAGCGTTTACTTCCCTCCAACTCGAGGTCTACTCAGTGACATGATTGCAAAAGCGAGTACGTGTGCCTGGATAGCCTTTGCCAACGCCGTGGCTGGGAGGATAAACGTGTCCTGGGCACAGTCTGTAACGCAAGATGCCGTCAGCACCATAGGCACATTGTGCGGTCTTGGGTCGTTGAACTGGACGGAGACCATTGTGCAGGTGTGCTGGAAGGATGTGAACAGCGAGATCTCGGCCCAGAATTCGAACTCCTTGGAGATGCATGAACGGAAGCGGCGGCGAACCAGAATCGATTGGAAACAGGTCCCTGCATGAAGACTTGAATCTTCTACAACTACTCCGACTGAACAAGCTTCTAAAGTGCGGCCGCGTGACAGTCAGCGTAATGCTAAGGACATCACTGTCCACTTCTTCCTGCAGCGACTATGGCAAGCCTTCCTGGACTTGTATGCTTCGCGTCCATGGAGTGTTGTTGGCAGTGCCGTCGAAGTCGGTTTCAATACATGCTGGCACATGTCCCAGAAATATCCCACCCCGAGCTCCTGATACTGACCCGGGCCAGGCATGTACCTCAGCAGGGCTGCTTCAAGTGCTGTCCGTATTCGACCGCAAATCGCGATCTCGTAAGCTCCCCACATTCCACGGCCCTCGGAGAAGCGCGTAAACATGATCTCTTTGTCCTGCCACTAATGACGACTGTGGAGAGCCAGAGGCAGAGACGGAGAGACAGAGAGAGACAAAGAGACGGAGGGGAGAGAAGAGGGGAGAGGGGAGGGGAGAGGGGAGGGGGGGGGAGGGAGGGGGGGGGAGTCTCCTCAAAAACGGTCAGCTCTAGGTGTCCACAGAGCTGGGTAAAGGCACCTGCTGAGAGCTCTCAAGAGTTAGTTGGGGTTCAGCAGCTAGCTACAAAGCTTTTGCCCAAGGAAGGCACGCTGCGACAGCTGCTCCAGGAAGCTGTACATCCTGAGCAAAGCAAAGAGCATGGCATGGCCTTCACAGCAAGAGTTGGAAAGAAAGCCACTGCACCCTGACCACAGCTTCCAACACAAAAGCTGAACCTTGAGGCTTGAGGCCTCAGCTCTGACCCCTCCGCTTTTTTGGTGCGGCGAGGCTGCGCATGCTTTCGCAGAACTGGCCCGCGCCGGTCCATGTGCAGCCTTATGAAGCAATCTGAAGAATGAGATTCGGATAAGCGGTTCGCACGGGAAGTGGTCATTCCCTGAGTTTCGAGAACAATGCAACCGAAAGACTCTGCCTTGCATTTTGCGAACCCCAAGAGCGATGCAACAATGTCACCCGAACCCTCAAGCTGAGCTACTCGTTGACCAGCGTCTGTGAGAGGAGTTGTGAGTCCAAAGGTGCCGCTTTGTGCTTCCTGGCCAGGGGGCAGACCTATGGCCTATGGGTTTTCACCGTTATGCGGGGCTGGACTCAAAGTGTGTTTTCGCCGGACCCCTCCTCAAGCTGTGATCTACAAAGCGCAGCACTCGAATGCACAGGTGAGAGCTGATCTTGTTGATCTTGAGATACCTGGGCGACTGGGAGACGATACCCCTCATTCCTGTCTGAGCTGTTGCAATCAACGTCTTGAAGACGCAGGAAACCGAAATTGGAATCCAGGCACATAGCCACCTGGCGCTTTCGGTCACCGGCCTCACATGAAGCTCAGACCGAGAAGGCTTCTGAATGCTGCCTCAAGGCCCTAAAGTTGTTGCTTAAGGTCGTAGCTGTCGTGGAACCGATCGGTGGGTGCCTTCTTGGATTAGCATCCCCAACCCTCAGCTGCCATGGAACCGCCCCATAAAATGCTGCAAAAAACTGCTACAAGCAGGGAAAGACCCAACCAAAGAATCACAGCCCCGGGGGGTGGCCCCTTTTTCGCTTCTGCGCCTCCGAGTTTAGCTTGATCACCTGCTGGATCGTTGCAGAGACCCGGGAGATACAGCTTGCAACCACGAGCCTGGGCTTTTGTGGGATTTCGGCGCCTGGGATTTGTCTCGAGTTTTTCAACCGTAACAGGAATCTTCTGTTCAGGCGAGGATGCAGGTTCTGGTTGAAGGTTCAAGGTTCAATTAGAACAACAGGCTTGAAACGAACATCGCTTGTTGTCTGCTGGCAGCAGGAAAGTACGTAACATGTGCTGGCCTCTTCAAACACTGATTCCATTCATGGACGGGGTGTTTTGCAACGTGCCACGTGGAGCTGTTTGCAGTAACTAAGGCAACCTCCCGTGAGTGAACAAGGCCTTCCTCCCAAAAACTAATAGATTCCGAAAGCCAAAAGAGCCAGCCAAAGCACAAACTGCCCCAAATTGTAAAGAACTCGCCCCGGCCGAATTGCCGTTTAGCGGGCTTGTATCCAAAAGAGGCTGCAACAGTAGCGGGTTGCAGCGGCTTTCGCATCTGCCTGCGACCCTTGACAACCAGGTTTTGACCAAGCAAGCAGCAAGGAGAAGAAGATGACGAAAACGTTGTACCTGTTGGCTGGAGCGGTTCAAGAGCAGCACATAGGTCGAACCCCGAATTTGCAGAACGCGACAGTCCCCACCATCACGGATTTAGCGAGGTCACGCTCTTTCTGTGGCGTTCCACGCATGGATAGCCATGGGTGCTGGCGTAAATTGACCCAGGATCCAGTGACAGCAGGCCAAGTACCTGAAGGTAAGCTAGAAGCAGTCAAGTTCCACAAACCTGCAACTGCCCGTCATGCTGCACCGTGTGACTGAAACTCCACTTTTGGAGTACGCATGTGTATGTATACAAAACTATCTATCTATCTATCTATCTATCTATCTATCTATCTATCTATCTATATATATATTGTGGTATGGTATGGTATGGTATGGTATGACATGATATCATATGACATGATAGGATAGGACAGGATAGGATATGATATGATATGTATATATATATATGTATTGAATAATTGATATTATGTGTGTGTACATACAGACAGAGAGAGAGAGAGAGAGAGAGAGAGAGAGAGAGCGAGATGACAGATAGATGGGTATATGATATATACATATAGAGAGATAGATAGATGGATAGATGGACAGATAGATAGATAGATAGAGAGTAGAGAGACAGAGATAGAGAGATAGAGAGACAGAGAGACAGAGATAGAGAGGCAGAGAGCGATAGAGATAGAGAGAGACACATATATATATATATATATACTATAGAAGTGCTTGCAAAGCAGCTGTTCGGACTGCCCCTTGGAGTGGTAGCTGTATCTGGTCAGCCAGCTTTCCTTCGGAGTTGATGACAGCGTTGGGCTTGCATGGTCAATTCCCAAGAGAACTGAAAAGTGCTGAGAACTGAAGAGATACTTTCTGACACTTGATGACGCACCGCATATAGATGCGACTGCGTGTTTGCAGACCTGCTTTGGCAGCTACTGTCTCTGACTAATAGGTAGGATTGCAAACACTCTATAGCAAGAAGGTCGTATATTCGACAATGATTGGAGAAACAAGGCTTGCCCCCAAGGTGCCAGCCCGTTCTCTTCACTTGTCTTGCCAACCATGAACCAAAAACATCCAAGCACCTGGGCTCCAGGAAGAACTTCGCCATCTCGTGCTTTTAACGTGTCACGACGCACAGACAGAAATCTTCATCTTGCAGCTCACATGCTTCACTGGGCAGTTTCTAGAAATGAACAGGCAGGGACATGTGCTTGCACGTGCTGTATGCCGGTTCTCACGCTGAGGAAAGTCTGCGATTGAAGAGCCGGTTGAAACCAATTGCAGTATCCTGCATTTCGGAAGAGTTGCTCAAGAGCTGGAAGGCCGAGGTGCATGGACAGAGAAGACGATCAGCAACAGCGCCTGTCCCAACTTCTTGGTTTGCTCCCTTGACGAGCTTACGACGACGGCTCGCGACACTTTGGTAGACTGCATGGGGATTTCTCTATTTGCCAGCCACTCTCCTGTCCACTTCTTGGCTTGCATTCTGGACCTCTCTCAACCTCTAACCTCCAGCTGAACCATTGTTTGCTTCTGCCCTATGTCTTGGCAGGCGCAGAGTGGCCTTCGCCACGGCCACGACCAGCTGCATCCCTTGCATATACGCGTAGCCCACAGAATCCTCTTCTGGCGGCTTTTGGCATCGGGTTTCGCTCGAAAGGGGGGGGGGGGGGCCGGCTTGGGTCAACAGTTTGGCAGTTTGGTCACCAAAAACTCAAGATGGGGATCGTATGTCTCGGTTGCCCATAGGCAGAACCTATTCGCGTGGACACACTCCTCGACGACCTGCAGCAAGTTCTGCAGCTTAACCAGACGAAGCAGCCGAACTATTCGGACCTGGTCGAGATGGCCACAGACGCGGTTCCAAGCGCGTGCAAGCACTGTCTGCTCTAGCAGCTCAACCCTTGTCGCACGGCGCTCACACTGGTTAGCCGAAACCCTTCGGCCGAGATACAACGCGAGCCACACGCAAGACTCGACCGCCGACGCCCATCGAGGTGCCTGGGCAAATGCATCGACAAATGCATCGACGCCAGCCACATGCGGTGACACAAGTTTCGCCCAAGCTGCTTGAAGTCGTACTACCCTCGAGCACCAACATGACCTGCAGCACTAGCCAACCCTCCCAAAAGCCAGGCATGGAGACCACTGTTCTTTAATCCCTCAGGGGAAGCCGGCAGTGATGCGTTGATGCCAAGGGACACCCGAGTCCGAATCAAGCAGGTCAGAACCCTGAAGGTCAGTGTCTTTCTTGCAGCCTAGAGCTGTAGGCTGACAGAAACTAGACGACACCTTATTTTTCATGCTCTTACGAGGCTAAGCGACTAAGCCAAACTGCAAGCCTCAAGCACTCCTCGCGAAAATGCTGGGCAAGTGTCCTTCACTGCTGGGACTTCCAAACTGGCATGGAGGTTGCAGAGAAGTAGGACCGTTTTCCAACCAATCCGAAATTGTCTTAAAGCAGTTTCAGAGAACCCTCCAACAGCCGCGATCGCGCAGCTCAGTTGTTCTCGAGACCAGTTCCTGCAGTTCGTTCGATCAGCTGGCGATGCCCGAAGTTCGACTTTTCGTGCCCGGGATACCGATGTTGCTAGCCGTTCCAACATGTCTGATCCATCTAGCTGCTTGCCTGAAACGGCTATTCTACCGATATGGTGTCGTCAGCTGCTGGTCTTCTTTGCGCCAGTCTGCCAGTGACGTGTGGCATGTGTCCAATTGACTCGCTGGTAGGTCAACGTTGTAGGCCCGGAGCTTCGATGTGTGGTTGGGAAGTGCCTCTCCAACCCTGGCAATAGCGTGGGCACCAGGAACAAGCATGATGGCTCGCTGTGCGGAGGCAGCAGCATGGTGTCGCTTCGCCCATCGGTTACATCGATGTCCTCGAGGAGCTCGACTCGGTGAACAGATCCAGGTCAGCTATGCCGCTTTACCAGTATACTCTTCTGTGGAGCTCGCTTGACCGGCGGCCGACCCTCTGCCAGCAGCCACAGCAAGCTCCTTGAACCCGTCAGCGAACGCGACTTGACCTGTCGTCTTGATGAAGACTGCGTAGCTCTTCAATTCAAAGGCAGGTGCTGCAGCAGCGCCGATGATATGGAGCAGAGACGATGCGGTGCACAGCATGGAGTGGCAACGGTACGACGGGGAGCGACTGTAGAGCTGACTGCTGTTGTGAAGCCAAATGCTGCAAGCACGTCACAAGCAAATCTCATTATGGCACCACACGGTAACTGCTCCGAGCGACCCAATCAAACGCCACCACGGCCACATCGAATAGGAACCAGGTCCTGTTGCACACACTTGCTTCTTGGGCATCGACCGCAAAGGGATTTAGCCCTTGCTTGAGTCACACGATACTTTCCAGGCAGTGCTGAGGAAAGCAATCGGCTGGACTTCCCACCTCGAAACTGCCCCGGCTTGATACAGCAACAGGGAAAACAAGCATGTAGCGGCCGTGCGTTCCAAGTTGTTCGGAGAATTAAGCCCAACCCGTAACCCTACTCGACTCTCCGTCCTCAGGTAGTGCGTCAATGCCCTCGCAGGCGACTGGACGAGGAGACCATTCTCGTAAAAGCCTGGGGTAGATGTTGGTTGCCGTTGCGATTCTTACTACCACGGTTGCCTTGTCTGCACGATTGCTGTTATTCACACATTATTATTGCTCGTGTTGCTGCACGTGTTCTTGCTATTTTCATTATTGCGACTCCCCCATTACCGTCATGTTGCTACTGTGGCTACGATCTGCTCTTCTTCCAAAGTTGGTACTGCTAATAATTAAATGACTGGCACTGCCTTCTCCTCCTGCTGCCACAGCGGCGGCATGCTACTGCTACTGCTACTGCTGCTGCTGCTGCTGCTGCTGCTGCTCCTGCTCCGGCTCCTGTTCCTGCTACCACTACCACTACCACTACCACTACCGCTACTACTACTACTACTACTACTACTACTACCACTACCACTACCACTACCACTACCACTACTACCACTACTAGCACCACTACCACCACCACCACCACCACCACGACGACGACGACGACTACTACTACTATATGCTGCAATCTTTAGTTCATTGTATCGATTACGGTCACTACTAGTCAACACCAGTTTTAGATTCCACTAATCGCTCTATGACCACTAAGATTAAGATGAGTCCCCTTTTTCTATGATGAAGCACAGAACCCGGCCTGTCTGCGCACTCGCGCCGATGTCAACCGTCCAGTAGAGCATCATGGGTATTAGAACCGACTCGACCTGCAGCAGCGTCCGGGTTTCTTTGGCTTGCACATGTTTGCACACTGATCGGAGTTGCTAAGGTGTCTTTCTTTGGTTTGACTTAGGGCTGCTGGATGTTTAACGATCCTCCAGATTCAGGAACTTGATGACAACACCGACCTTGAAAGGAGGCATGACTGCAAGCCGAATATGGCGGAGAATACATGACATCACATGGGTATCAGCAGGCTCGGAGGTCAAGTTGACTTCGCAGTTTTCGCCCCTTCAACCCAAACCCCAACCACTAAAACAGAGTTCGTCTTCACAGAATACCGGTGCAATACCGGACCTCCGAGTTCGGAATTTCCCAGCTCACGATCACCGGGATGGAGAAGGCGTCGAAGATAACCTAAAGTCGCTCGAGGTCCAGCGGTCGTTGAAAAGCCCACATGAGAATGGTTTCTGATACGCATGCGACCCAAGTAGCACAAAGCAATCCCACGAAGGACCAGACCAGCCGGGCTGTGGAGTGTGGATCCATCAGAGTCCCTTGGTCGGACACAACTGCTCTGTGACGAGTGTTGTCGGTGTGGCTTTCCAACCTTTCCAAACTCAACCCCCGGACCCTCGGAAACGAAGCCGAAGGGGCGATGCAGGCACGTCAGCGCGTGCTCTGCTTGCTTCTCCTTCTTCACCTCCTTACGATTCGGTCGGCTCGGTTCGGAGTCTAAGGGCCGCCGAGGCGCAAGGACGCTTTCCAGAGCGCTCAGCCCCCTGAAACCCTTTCGGTGTCCTCGTGCATGAACAGGTTCATGTGAGACCTGCTAGTCGATTGATATCGCATCTGCACGTCCTGGATAAGGAAACAGGAGTTTTCGCAGCCGGCCGCGGCCGCAACCGCTTATATAAGCCTTCATTCACCACCCTCGCTGGATCACCACAAAACTGGAGATTACTGATTGTCGAAACTTCTGCATCCCGTGCTCCCCTCACCGGCCACCGTCCCCTCCACCAGCTAGCATTCCGAAAATATCGGGCACGGACGAGACCGGCGGCTACTGACTCCCTCCCACTTACTCCCTGAATCTCCTCCGCACGGCTGCTGAGCTCTTCCTGGCGTCAGAACGCTTTGCAGGCTGCCCCACTGCAAAATTAGCTGTTCGCCACCCAGCACACGCCGGCATCTGCTGCATCCCTGCTGCCAAGGCACCCAGATACCGTACCTTTTGCCAAACAGGCTCGAAGAGGAATGAAGACTGCAGTCAAAAAAGGATCTCGAAGCCCAGAGCGCACATGCTCTCTCCAGAGAGACTTCCGACTTTCTGTCGGAAGGAAGCCAAGGGACAAGGAGTAGAGCTTGCGCTTCTTCTCAGTGTTGATGGAGGCGACGTTGGAGCCCGCGGGCCTTGCTACCCGTTCGGCGACTTGGTAGGATGCTTCCGCTTCGTCCCTACTTGGCGCACACGGCCGCAGGTGCACATAGCTTGCTGTGCGGGCACCGGGGTTCAAGCTTGCATGGCTTCAAGCTGCACGCCGCCCGGCATCGATGCAACCGCGGCGCACGACGCGCTCCTGCTGCGCCCTCCAGAACCTCTGCAGCGCGATCGGAACCTCGACATGCAAAACACGTCCGGTCCGGAAGATATCGGACCGAGGGACTTGTGCTTGTCGCAAAGTCATGAAACCTTGGAGCTGGGTATTGCTCAAAAGCCCAGTCTCAGTCGGGCCTTCGGGTTTTCGCCCAAGGGCGACGCACTGTCGCCATTCGTAAACGGCTCCTCAGCTTCCGAGCATCATGGGGGGGTTTGTGGGATGAAGGAACCATACGAGGTCTCTGCCTGAGCTTTCTTCGCCGAGCTGGAAGATGCGGCCGAGAACTGTCGCACGGCGGCCTGCCAGTCGGAGGAGGGCCTTTATTTCAGCACGGGCTTTGGGCCTATGCCGGCAAGCTGGACTCTCAAGGTCCTCCGGCCTAAACCGCAAAGGGTTTAGGCAAAGATCGCGAGCAAAGCCCAAACTCCAACTCTGAAAGCCTTCCCCCATGCCGCCTGGCCTTCACCTTTTGCGACCGTGAAGCGATCTCCTCAGAAGGGTGGCGATGGTAAGGGATGCTCACATTACTTTTGCCTCCAAGAGGACCGTGGAAGACGCCCCAAGACCGAGCTTGATGGGAAGAAACTCGCTCTGGCACAGCCAAAGACCCACACACACAACTAGAGGTGAGATATCAGGGTGACTCCGAGTGAGCCAGAACGGAGGGTAGCAAGCAATTGGCAGCAGGACATGAACTCTTTATGTGCAGTCCGAGCATGCCAAACACCGTCGGCTAGCAACCATGTTTTTTGTGCCTTTTCAGTTAGACGAGAAAATGGATGGACAGTGATTGCGCAAGACTAGCCTTAAACCCGTGATAACCTTGCCCGAATCTGACAAGTTTCGTCCAACTCATGCTCAATTGCGGCCACCGCCTGCACAAGCAATTGCATCCTATCTTGGGTGTAGAGGCTCATGCTTCTATCGTCCTGGTTGCCATCGTTCCTCTTAAATGACGACAACGGCTATGGTTCTCAGTCGTGTAATTATTCTCGTTTCGCACAGGATTGACAAGCTCCGAACAGTCCGAAGAGGAGTTCCGGTGTGGCCTGGCTCGTGTTCACATCACGAGGGCAGGAGGCTTTCTGGGTAAGCTACGATTCCCGCCATTACGGCTGCCTACAATCCTGAATCTTTGATCTCCTGTCGTTCAAAATTCTGGCGTGGGCATCGTCATCAACATCACCACCCTAGTCGTCACCACGGCAATCAGAACTACGAGTGCCAATGTCATCTTCGTCCTCACAACATCAGCGGCGACAGCAATACCAGGATCATGCGCATCATGTAGTATGTCACGCAGACGAAGTCAAAAAGTCTTCAAACACCCGAAGACGGAAACTCCGCAGCAGGCCTCGGAGATTCCCTCCATGGCCAGGACGGGCGGTGCTTTTCTCTCGGGACGAGGAATTTCGCCGACTCTTGTGGAGCTGTACGAGCTCCAACGTCCAATTTGAGGATGCGATGATGCGTTCAGGGCTTGGCTTCGTGGCTTTTTGGGGTGCGCAGCGACACATCAGACATACAGTCTGCAGATTCTTGCACAACCAGACTACAAGCTCGATTTCTTTGTACATGCTTGCATGCTTCTCCGCATCCTTGGCCAAGAGGCCGCACTTTGAGCCAAGCAGCTGGGGCAAGTCTGCTCTAGGCGTCAAGTGTCTATAGACTTGGCTTCATGCAGGACCTCAGCAGTACCAAGATAGCTTAGATGTGCGTATCGACCCGTTCCGAGGCTGCAAACCGGTGCGAAAGCAGCGCTGCAGTTGTCGCACGGTTTCTCCTTGGAGGCTTGACGTGTCTGGATCGGAGCTTCTGCGCTTCTGGGCTTGGTGTCCAGATGATCAACGCGAAGGGGCCGGGACTCACTTTCATGGAAATCGAACACCCTTGCAAGAAACGGAACGGACACAAAGCACTCCAGCATGATGAGTGTTGGACAGACCGGCAGGGAAAAATGCTGACAGAAGAAGGCACAGCACCATCAGCGCTGCCTCTGATACCGATCCCGCTCCCTCTGACCAAAATCTCAGGGCGGGAATGGGTTTTGCAGTGACAAGCCGGGCTGCATCCGGCAAGCCGCAGTTGGTGATCACCTGGTCCTGCCAAGAATGGCCGATGCCAATCTCCAAGCTTCGAACAGAGAGACCAAACAAAATCAAACCCGCCCTGCAGGAGCTTCTCTCTGAATGCTGTGGCCGTAAAGGGCTATTCTCGAACACTTGTGCGCTACACAGCGGTGATCCTCTGCAAAGAAGAGGCAGCGCGAGCCACCAACAGCAATGCTGCTCATCTCCTTCCGAAGCTCAAGTACCAAGGCCCATGGCATCATGATCCCAAGTCGCACATGCCCGAGCCTCCAGGGGCACCTGCTGAGGCCCAAGAACTTTGAGGGTGTAGATCGGCATGCCGCAGAAGTTCACCACCACCTAACGGCCAAAGGCCCCAGCAAGGCACAGCGCGAACCCACGGCCACGGCTTTGGGACCCCGAGGCCGCTGCCTGGAACACGGCCACCCAGAATTGGAGCACATTCCTGGTATTTGTCGCTTGAAAAAGGGTGTGCGACGTTTTAGAGAACAGGGCGTGGAGAACCACGTGAGAAGAGCTGCAACGAATCAGATCTATCCTGCACACGCTGTTTGAGGCAAGCGACACGTCCAAGTCGCCGTCAAAGCCGCGGAAGGCGATCTCCTGCAGGAGGAACCCCTTTCTAGAGAGCCCTTATCCAGCTCTGAAAATATACCAAGGCGTGTCAGGGGCAAACTCTCACAAGAAGGCCCTCGCCGCCCTAGCCCCATTTCCTTGAAGACGGTCGAAAGCGCCTGTGGGAGCAAGGCCTCCACGGGACCCCACAAAGTACCGTCGGAGCGCATTGCACATCTGCTGAGGCCACGACGAGGCAGAAGATGAAATTGAAGACCGGCTTGTTCTGGTCCTGCGGAAGCTGCGCATCCCTCCACTTCGGAACGCCGTGCTAACAGGTCATCGCGATTCACGGAAAGTGGCTCTTCGAGCTTCTGACGCCGCTTGGCGCTCCCGGGTGCCTTTGCCTTTTTCTCGCGCAGATTTCGAGCTAGGCTAAACGCCGTTTCGGCTAACGCCCTGTGGCGAGGCTCATTATCCTACACTTCGTTTGGGACGCTCTCCAGCACCAGGGGATTGAAATAGCTCCGGCCCCTCCTGGGCACTGGTGCCAGGGAGCGCATCCCAAAAGCTACGTTCCACGAACTACTCAACTACTCATGCGCCCCAGAATCTGTGGACTTGCCCCAGACCTGCCAGCACCTCAGAAGATGGCGTATTCGTGAAACACGACGGCACCCGTACTCCTTGGAACTTCCGCCTGCCCTGGAGCAGATGCCCTTGCAACTTGCAACATGACTCCCTGCTCCCACGCTGACGGCGCCACCATCTGGAAGCCAATGTCCACTCAGTAGGTGACCACCTCATTGTCTATGTTCATTTCGCTGCGAGGTCACACAGGAAAGTTCGAGCTTCGGAGAAGGCAAGGACTACACTGGCCGGCTGTTCAAAACTCGCAGGCAGTTACAGACATCTTCCGTGGGGAGTGTAGACTTGCTGAGAGCCAGGCTGCGCGGAGGCATTCGCCAGAGTGCAGTGCATCGATTGCCTTCAGGTTGCCTGGCCCAAAGGCCAAAGAGCCGCCAGGCTGCTAAGAGCAGCGAACAACTCTTTCACTGCTCCACTGGTCCATGCCATGCAGCCCGAAAAGTGCCAAATTTGGGCCAACCATCTGCCTTCTACACCCTCAAAGCGGTGCGTAATGTAGTGATCCAGCTTCAGCTTCCCGGCCTGGGCTGCATCCGGGCAAGGACCACCGGACCCGGGGTGATTCTCATGGTCTTACAAGGCTTCGCTTTGGCCATCTTCGCCTGAAACATCCTCAAACTAAGCCATTTCCAAGGCATCATGCCGTCACTTCTCTCGCCGGTGCCGAAGCAGTGAGAACCATCTTCATCTCAAGCTCTGAAACTACAAATGAAAGTGCCCAGGGGAGCCTCATAGGCATCGATCAAAGGCGGCACCTCGGATCGCCCCTTGAAGCCGCCAAAGGCCTGGGGGTGCGGAATCGAAGCCAGTCGGAACATAAGAGATAGTCACTGCCAACACCGATTTTGATTAGTGGGGTGGTGGTGGCGGGTAAAGCACAAGGAGGAGGCAGGGCAGGAGCAAGTGGAGACTTCGTGCGCATATTCTAGTCATGTCGTGAATGAATCGTAGCTTGGTCAAGCCCAGCGTAGCCGGTACCGCGGAATTCAAACACTCTGGAGAGGACCCAACTTTACCATCGTCTGCAAGGCCCAAGCCCAAAACCGAATCATGCGGACCTGCCGGGAACCCAGCCGTGCCAGTCCACTTCCGACCCGTGACAAGCTGGAAAGGCCGAGTACTGATCTCCTTGCACAGCGGAAACACTTCAAACACTTGAAGCTTTTCAGGATCCTTCGGCGAGGCATTAGGCTGTCTCGGGTCGGGTTGCTTTGCTTTTCAAGACTAAGGCCCTTGAGGAGCCGCTGAACCGCCTTCCAGAAGAGCGAGCTGTCTCCAAATGATCCCCTCATCCCTCCAGCCCAGGCCTTCCCAGCGGCCGCCACGCCAATGATACAGGACTCGCCCCAGCCACGGTGCGCGCTCCTGACAGGTTGAGGTCTCTTTGCCGAGAAGTTCGTACGTAGCAGTAAGCTGTGGTTGAACACAACTGCAGGAACGGAGCAGGGATGCATAAAAAATCTGGAAGCTCGACTCAGCAGGAACCAACACATGGAGTCCATCTCTAGGGACCCTGAGGCTGCTTCTTGCCAAGTGGCTCGAGCGCTGCACGCATCACCTCTGTGTTGCCGGTGCCTTGGGCATCTCCACTTCATACTTATTGCGTCCCCACTCCGCGCTGCCTATGCAGAGCCTTGCTCAACCCAATACTGTTCCGTCTCTCGACATGCTGCGGTCCAGATGCAGTCAAATGTGTAGTCGATTCCCCACTTCGTCATCCCGACCAAGACCTCAACTAGAACGCCAGAGGTCAATGACATTAGCCTTTCGGAAGTCATCCGGAGAGTCGTTCCGCTTCTGGCCAAGCCTTCTGTCGGCTACACGCGAAACCTCCAGAAACCTTCGAGCCTGCTGGATAGGCTTGTCGTAATCCTTGGGATTGACACAGTCCGTGGCTCCAAGATCCTTCGAGGGTTGAAGACAATGCAGAAGCAGAGCCTAGTTGCCAAATGCGTCTCTCCGTTTATATGAATGTACATGCACCTATGTCTATGTGTGTGTATTAGATGGTGTTACAGACTCAGATACAATACGCACATGCACACATGCCCACCCGCACACACATACAATCAGAGTCCTCAAAACTTTGTTTGTGCTTGTGCAGAGACATACACACATATACACACATACAGCGCGCTCATACATACATATATACATACATACCTGCCTACCTACCTACCTCCTATCTACCTACCCACCTACATGCATTCAGACATACATACATACATACATACATACACACATACATACATACATACATACATACATACGTACATTCATTCATTCATTCATTCATTCATTCATTCATTCACTCATGCATTCATTCATTCATTCATTCATTTCATTCATTCATTCATTCATTCATTCATTCATTCATTCATTCATTCTTTAGCACTCGCACTCGACGCATCAGGCGAGGTGTACATACATACATACATACATACATACATACATACATCCATCCATCCATCCATCAATCAAGCAATCAAACAATCAATCCATCAATTGTGCCTGAAAGCAGGAGCTTGTGGGTGAATTTCCCCGCCGGGCATGTGCAAATTACAAGTCTGGATGTAGGAAAGCAATTTTCTACGCATGCTCCGCATGCATCTACCCCTGCGAGAATAGGCGCATGTAGCACTTGCGCACGCATAGGGTTTTTTGCATGTTTGCACAGGCATACATGCAGTAAGTCCACCTGCCGGCAGACCGACGTGTACGAGCCTATATGCATGGCGATCTGCATGCCCGGATTACCAACGAGGTTGTGTCTTTGGTCCTTTTGTGCGACTAGCTGCGAATCTGAGCAAGGTCTCGATCGATCTCGGCAATCAAAAGAGGCTGGGCCCTCACTGATTGGGCGAAGCTGAAAGGCTGCTGCAGGCGTGACGGGCCAGCCACACTAGCACCTCACCTTGCAACGCTGAGAAAAATCCAGCTTGCCTCCTGGCCTGACAGACTACACCTACGACAGCCAAAACACTATAACACTATACTACGCTTCAAGACCTTGGATAATATGCGACTTTTGGGCTTAAGTTCTCGTACTCCGCAAACCCAAAAGGGGTGCACTTACAAGGGCTTCGAGCGCGCCGCTCCTTGGCAATTTCGAACTTCTTTGGATTCCTCGGCAAGCTGTGGTGACCAGGCTGAAGATCGCTTGCAGGAACACGACCAACAGGACGGAAGGATGTCATTGGGAAGCAAAACCTCATAGACTCGACACTTAAAAGCACACGACGGACATGAAGTTAAGGGCATCGTGCGCAAAGGTGCTGGCTTCCCTCATGTATGCTGATGGAAATCGTAGAATATGCTGGAATCTGTTAGCTGCAGCATCTCCAAAGTTGGATGCCGGAAGCACCGACAACCTGCCCCACGGCTTACTCCGACTCCGGATGTGGCAAATCAAAAAAATCGAATCCTGGCTTGCAATTCTCAACTACCACATCACAGCCCGAAGTATTCACCACAAGCCATGACTGTGTTAGGCTTTTTGTGCGAATAACAATGTCTTTTCCCTCTCGCATGGCCTCTATTTTATATGCTCGCCTCTAGCATTCATGCCAGGCTACGTGTCGATGGCGAAAATGCGGGATGCGCCCCTCATGTGGGAACCTGAAGTTGCTCGATCAGGGTGGAGGTAATCACGATGCGCAGCGGCTCTTGAAGCAAAAACTCGTCAGATTTCTGCGGAACCCTACTACACCTTCGCAGGAAATCCTGAAAGCAAGAACTCCAGCAGCACGCGGCCGTGTCGCCTTGAATAACTGCCAAGCCCACAGCTCCAAGACCAAAGACGGCCACGCTGGAGCCACCCTGGGGCGGAACGGCTCCGAGCTTAAGCCTTTCGCCAAGGAGTGCTCAGGGGTTGGATTTGTTGGTATGGGCTTCAATTATTCGCCAAGCCGCTTTGGCACGGCTGATGTGGCAAGGGATTATCACGCACTATCTCTGCTGCTGAAGTGCCACTTCAATACATCAAACAACTGAGCTAATGCTCAGTGCTCTCTCGCCCGGCTCGCTGCACATGCTTCCTTGCTGCACACATTTGATTACTGAGTGTCAGGTGCTTCGATGGCCATCAAGGAAGCACAGCGACAAAAGTGCAGCAAATTCCACCTACATAGACATAGATCGGAGCTACATAGATCGGAGCTTGATACTTCAATAACAGCTGGCAATGTTGGGTGCACACTACTAGTTGAAGTACACAGTCTATGATTCTAGGGGTGCACTTCGAATTGCTGCGACGATCTGAGTTCGGAAACCTGCCTCTACGTCCAAGGTGTTCCACACTGCGCCCAATCCCGTCCTCGCAAAGCTGTATAAAGGGGCTCGCCAAACAGCCGCACATCGCTGACTTGCTAACTCCAATCGCATGGCCCATCATCTTGGGAAGAAATTCTAGCCATACGAAAATGCAGCCGTGCATCGAGACGCCACAGCCCAACAGCGAGCAAACCTGAGTAGAGTGAGTGTGAGTGTGAGTGTGAGTGTGAGTGTGAGTGCGAGTGTGAGTTTGAGTGTGAGAGTGAGAGTGAGAGTGAGAGTGTGAGTGAGAGTGAGAGTGAGAGTGAGAGTGAGAGTGAGAGTGAGAGTGAGAGTGAGTGAGTGCGTGTGAGTGAGTGAGCGTCAACCAGCACTTACGGTGCGGCCTCCCACGTCCCTCTCAACATCTCAGAGGGGCTCCGGAAACGTCCTGGCCCCCCTACGTCACAGAGTTAAAGTGGGGGAAAGTTAGCTAATGCAGACAGGTCACTCACTGTGTTGGGCCATGGTGTACGGTGTGCGACCCCAACAGAAACCGTGACACATAGCCCTTAGGAAACACCTGGCAAGAATTTTTCAGCGGTCGAGGAACAGGGGCCAGGAATGAATTGGGTTTGAAAGATAATGGTAATTCCGGCATGCACCAAAAATACAGCAAGTAGTCGGCAGACGCAAACAGCATCAAGGGGGTGAAGGCGTGTGGCGAGTGCCGAGAGAGCAATGCTCCATGCACAGGAGGGCACGAGCAAGGACGACCCCAAAGGCGTGCGCCATGTGCCGACGAAACAGTGTTCCAGCACCGAGGAGGGCGAGCACGCCACCAAGCAGGTCCAATAAAGTAGTATCACAAGTAAACCAGGCTGCCGCAGCAATAAACGGCACAGAAGCACAATGCTTGTGGTGAGCGTGGAATACCTCACATATGCATTGGACATCCTCATGCCCGTCATATTGTAGATGTGGAAAAGCTGACATATTCATTGGACGCCGCACGACCGTAACACAAGGCAACCAGCATTTCATTCATCTCTGACAAATACATGCCGCACCCAGCAGAAGCAGTAGAATAGTCGTCGGTTTCATCGTCATCGTCGTAATATACATCACCCAAAGACACGATGTCGACCCACCGATACGTCCGATACGTAACGGCACTGTCGCCCTAGAGCCTTCGTGCCGCCTGCAGGGTCCGCACCCTTTCCAGCACCAGCCCACCGAGCCGAGACAAGCACTAGGCCCCGGGGCCTGAGCAAAAAGATAAGCCCTTAATGTTCAAATATGCCAGCGTGCTACTGCCAGGATACAAGTTAGAAGACAAACGAAGGCTTTCAGCGAGAAAGAGAGAGAGAGAGAGAGAGAGAGAGAGAGAGCGAGATAGGCAGAGAGGGGGAGAGGAAGAAAGACAGATAGTGGGAAGATATATAGCGACGGATACCAGTCGATTCAGATGGATGATCGGGCTTCTGGCGGACAGCTCCCAAGAGCGGATCTTACGGAGACTTCACAGAACACAGGAAGACATACAGATCAGCCGGGTTCCCGAAGAGTTGGCTTGCCACCATTCCCACAAGTCCTCCCCAACAGCAGTCGTCTTTGGATAGGATTGGGTAATAACCAACCCCATTGAGCACGCCGAGCCGCATCCAGCGGGGCGGTCTCCGACACCTGCAGGTTTTGTACCCCTCTCGCATGGCTGAGAGCGGAACTAGGCTTCCTGGAAAGGTGCCTTAGGTCCCTCTTCTCTCAACACGTCTGGAAAGGGACTCGCCCCACCGCTGAGAATGCGTCTTCGCCACAGTTAAGCGGCTCTTGCAAAACCAGAAAGCGAAAAGACTGGCTGACACCTTGGCACAGGAGATGTCGGCCACCACGGTGTACTCAGAGAAGGTGGAGCAGCCCATAAAATGCCTTTGCTTTCAGGCTTAGGACCAGGGCCTAGGCCTTTGGATAAGGACCTGGAGCCTGGACGCGACTCCAAACTTTGCTTCATGGCTCTGTTCCCGCTACTGCGTAAGATGAAATCTGAGCTGAAGTCTGACATCTGCATACAGGTCATTCGTGCCAGTTCGATGTCAGAAAGCATGATACGGATCAGGATCATCCGGCAATATGTCGATGGCTGCATCAAGAGAACAAGACCAAAGGCCCACAATATCGTGCTCCACACGCTTGCATCACTTGCTTCGTCGACCAGTCGGAAGCTGGGCTGGAGGAATCCGGACGTGTTGAACTTCTCTCATGTCGCCTATCATGATGTGACATCCTCTCCTGTCTTTCTGGCCTTCGTCAAACGAATCAAACGAATCGGCTTTGATTCCTCGATCCAATGGGGCCCGCACATTGGATATTACCAAGTCAGACTTGGCGGCGCAACGGAGCTCCTCCCCGCAGCCTGTGTACTCAGGAGGGCCAGCTAAAGAGGATTGTTTCAGCCTGCCTAACTCTCGGGAAGCTCCTCCAGCACCGCCGGAGGTAGTCCACCCAGCGAAATGCGATCGTCCCAGTACTTCTCACCATAGTCAAAGAAAAGCTCCTCGCCCTGTGCAATAGGACGGCTTGCGTAGAGCTCCGCAAAGTGCTTCTCAGGCCGGCAAACCAACTCCAGGTTGTACCCTCGTGGGTTCCGGCAGTCGTTGATGTATCTCGCCCAAAGCTCCTTGTGAGGACCCGCGTCCACGTAGATGCAACCGCTGGCGATCTCGTCCTTGCTAGGGCCAGTAGGGCCCAGTCGCATGACATAGGCCTGGTCCTCCAGAGCTCGAGAGGTCCTGAGGTCATGAAGGTCACCCGAGTACTGGGCCACCACGGCCCCTGCCTCGAGTGCTTCAGCAGCAAAGAGGCCAAGTCCAGCACCAGGGCCCAGGCCCGAGGCCTCCACTCTCAAATGCTCCCCACGCTGTCGCGGCAGGGCGGCGCCGAGCTCGCCACGAACAGCCTTACACCTCTGCCGAAGGCGCTTCAGGTCATCCGGGCAGCTTAGGAGATCCCTGTCTTCTCCGCACTCCTCCTCCGAAGGAGTCACGGCCAACTCCAGCCAGGCCTCGAGCCTGCGCAAGCGGTCGTGAAGCTGGCGATAGCGGGCGTCATCGAGCGGCTCAACCACAAACATGCTACTCTAGAAGCTCAGGGTGAGCCATCAAAAAGAAGCTTCGGCTCAGCGCTTTGATGTGTTTCGGAAGACCGGACTCAAGCACTCTTCTATCAGACTGCATCACTCTGTGAATGCCACTTCCAGGAAGTGTTGGATTAGGCTCGGCCCAAACATGGTGCCATACACTTTGCGGCATAACTCCTAAATACGACACCAGGCATGCCGGGTCGCTTGATCTCCTTGCCGCTCTCATCGGTGAACCGGCTGGTGCCGTCTGGCATAACCCCTCCTCCTGGCAGGAAGGGGTCAAACAGAATCTGCGTAAGGTTTGTGGGTTCGACATGTGCAACTGGAAATGAGATGCTAAGACCTTCAGGCTCGACATCTACATGTAGAATGACAGCATTCACGGGCGAGGACACTCACTCCCGGCGACAATTGGCGCTCTTGGCGCGGCTGCTGAACCCAGCTCCTACACTCCATTTGGAGCTGAAGCTCCATGTTTGAAAGGAAGTCTTGATAGGTTCGTGAATTCCGAAACCAAATGATAAACCGGCCGAGAACGTCAGGAAACTCACCAGGCTCGGCACCCTGAGTGCCACGGATCTTTGGGCAAAGGTTGGTACGCTTGCCTCAGGGCCGAGAGTCGGTGTGACCGGGATAGAGGGCCACCGTCCCTTGAAACCTCAACCGATTGCAACTTAAAGCAAGTTGAGCCGAAATGCAAAGCCACTCCGAGCCGCTGCGGTCCTTCACCCGGAAAGCCCGAAGACTTAAGCCCTTACCTTGTTCAACGGCACTCATCCTGTCATCCAAACAATGCCCTTCGGCAGAACATGGCACTGCATCATCCCTTTAAAGCCCCAAGTCCTAACACCTTAACCGACACTTCCTTCCCCTTTTAAGGATGGAGGCATATGGAGCCACACCGTCAGGCTCCCGTGTCAAGAATTACGTAGCTGCAAGCTTGCATTGGAAGCATCTCGAATCACGACTCGAAAATCGTCATGCTAACCAGTGCCTCGAGGCGGAAAGCAGAAAATGCAATCCTTAGCTTGGGCTCACCAGCCAGTGCTGTGATACTGGGGGGGAAGAACAGTCGCCTACTGAGCCAAATCCAACCCATGACCAGTCTGCACTGCGAGACCTAGATCGCTGCCCCAGGCGCCGGCTCTCCACACTGCGGAGTGTAGCACGGTATCACCTTGTCTCCAGGCTTCAGGCCTCGGTACGTCAACATGTCACCCGTGAAGCCCTGTCAAGCTTTGTGTCCACACAGAGATGGGCTCCGTACCTACCACACCCTCGCCCACGCTCTCCACCTCGGTGCCGGCCTCGTGACCGAGGATGCCTGCAAACATCTGCGAACTCGGAAGCAGCAGACTCCAGGCAACATCCCGCGCCGGTGCCACGGTGTGAGCGAAGCTAGAGAGGAGCAGGGTACAGATACAAGCTCGGACATCAAACTAGGATGTCCTCCGGCGAGAAGGGCTTAGGACGGAATCCAAGCAAAAAATCGAAGACGAGAGCTGCAAGCCCCAGTTCCGGCCCCCACACCCTTCAACCCTCAAGGAGTCGAGCCACAAACACGCTACCACAATACAACAACATAATTTTCTTGAAATGTTTCGGCATAAAACCAAATTCATAATATAATTATGCATACAATACAAAAATGCAGCGATTCGGCCAGGGCGCTGGGGAAGAGTCCCTCGGGGTCCTGGCCCGAAAGCCTCGGCAAAGCGTGGTCTTTCGCGACTTCGACAGGGAGCTTCTCGCAGGTGTCGATGCTCAAACCCTCGACGGAGGGTAGTAGTGTCTTTCGAACCACTTTGCGGAAAGCTGTGACAGCACTCGGCCCAATGAAAACGTTGCACCGCCGTATGCCACAGTGCGAATTTCCACGACTTCCAGAAAAGCAACAACACCCCCGCGAGCACCACACTGCACAGAGCGAGTCACGTGTAGATGTCCGTGTGGCACAGTGCATTGGAGTGCACCTCCAGCGAGGTGGTGTCCAGGCACGCTTGGGAAGTACATGATGGTTTCCTTCAACCCGCTCATGAGGTGATCGCTTATTATGTCCATAGTGGCTGTGGGAGAGACAGGGAGAAAGCTTAATGATCAGCGGGTAATCCCACTGCTTCGGAAAGCATATATGCAACAGTGCCGTTCTGACAAGTACACAGAACAACGGAAATCATAATCGGGCAAGGTGAGAACCCCTCCAAAAACCACCAGATGCCAACCCAGCGCAGTTCCTGAACTCAAGACTGCAGAGCCCCTCTCGTGCTGCCGACGTGCATGATGCAGCAGACACTGATGAGCTGCACGCTTCTGTTTTAAGCACGGCAGACAAGCCGTCAGTGCACGATCCGCGTCCTACTCATGCATCTCACTCCATGAGCTTCTCGAGAGTTCCCTGTGCATCCATCCTCTCCCGGACCTGAAAGCGCAGTGAAGGAAAGGAAGCAGTTCTAATTCTACTCACGAAGAAGCAGGCAGCAGATCTCCATGCTCCGGCTAGCCTTGGCCTCGAAGATGTCTGCAGGTGGCAGAGGGTCCTGCACAAAAGTCCTAGTGTCAAAGCCTGCGATTCCCAGCAGCAATGAGGCCAATCTTGCTGGGGTGGGTTTCTCACGAAGGGGAGCTGGAAACTAAAACTTTCCACACGCCGGGATGTATGCTAGAGACAGGAAACTTGCGATGTCGGCACTCAGTCTCAGTGTATGCACCACTCACTTTCGCTTGGTGAGTACAAACAGCAATCCGTGAGGACAGATCTAGCTGTCAGCCCCATCTTGTGGCCGCGAGACAGCTTCACTCAAAGCCCGGCTGTGGAGTCCTCGATGACCCTCGTGGTGAAGTTCACCGTCAAGACCTCGGATGTTCGCAACTGGCCGTCGGCCGGCTTCACGTGAGAACTGGCTCATCCCCTCTCGCATGAGCAGAACCCCTGCAAGCTCCGCGAATTCAAGCCTCGAACAGCCCGCAGACTCCAGCAGAAACTGACATCCGTGCTGATCACGACCCCAACCAACACCGCAGCCGCTCCAGTCGACCGGCACAGACATCGCCACGCGACATACATCTCGATACAAAGAACGCATCACTGCAGGTACTCTCAAACCAGTCAAAGCAGGATCAGCCACTTCACTAAGTGTCACATCCATTGGCCCTGCCGGGGTTGCCGGGCTGTGCAGGTGGCGCGCAAATTGTTTGGGCTACTCTGCACCGCAAGTTGGTGAGTGTGTTATCGTTTTCCACGAGGAGCACACGCTCTCAAACGTCAATGAGGCTCTCTGCCTTTTTAAAGTGACGGAAATCAAACCTGCGCATCTCATCCAGATGAAAATTTTTACTCGGCAACTCAAACATCATGCGCATGAGTAGTGCTGGAAGACAGATCACGATCGCCATCAACAGTCAGTGGTAGAAGATGCTTCAAATCGTGCAGTATGTCTATCCGTAGTACAGGCTGGAAAATCCAGCCGTGTGCAGGCAACCAAAGCAGCAAGCGGGAAGCATCTGGTGGACGCCGAGTTGCTTTCCAGTCAAGCTCAGGCGAGTAAAAGTTCCTCGGCTCGCATCCGGCTGTTTCATTCCTGGCTCGTTAGAGTCTACCGTTAGAGGACTGAAGCTGCATAAAACAGCCCCGACCCTGAAGCTGTGACTTCCGGAGACAAGGGTCTGGATGGCCCAGGAGCGAGCTTCCTCTGTGCGCTTCCGAGCCTCGTCCTGCAGCTGGACAGGCGTTTTACTTTCACAAAGAGTTCCTTGTCGTCATCTTCAATGCTTCATCAACCGCACCCGTGTCATCGGCATCCACATCGTTGCAATGCTTGGCCACACCCCTTTGCCGGCCCACTCGCACCCACAAAATCAACTGATCATCGGCATTGCATTTATTATCCCTAGGCCCAACCCAAAATAAGAGGGCCCCCCCTGTGTTTTACATTACTGCTCGGGGATCCCTAGGGAAAGCTTAATGTAAAACGCAGTCCTTGGACTAGGTTCTTCATGTCGACATGAACCCCCCCCCCCCGTTTTACATTATTCCGGGGTTGCCGACAAAGTCACTTGAAGAGCAGGCCCCTGTGTTTTACATTAGTTGGGTCTGGGGATCATTTATTATCATCGCCGTTAAAAACACTGTCACCAGCGTCTCTGTTACCGTCAAGGATCGTCAGCGGCATCGCCTCGACCGGCCACTGTGCTCACCACCTCCATCTGCATGATGGCCATCATGATTCATCATGCCGAATCATCATCTTCAGCTGACACGAGCCTGCTGAGGGCTTGACACCGGCACAAGATGTGTGCTATGATATTGGTGATTATGACCACTGCTGATGAAGATGGCGGTGGGAGTGGTAATGAAGGCGATGGTGACCATGAACCCTGGTGCCACTATGGACGTCAACCTGTGATGAGACGACACCGATGCTTTGTTTGCCATAAGTCCTCGGAGATCAAGGTGGCCCCGCAGTGTCTGAAGGTCTTCTGGTCGACGGCACAAAGATGGTGGATGCCCTCCGGCGGCTTTGTGCTTGGCATATGCTATCGGGTTGTCAGGCTGAAACCTGTTGATTCGGGTGCCTAAGCGCTTGCATAAGAGAGACGGACGTCGAACGACGCAAGCAAGGCTACACTGAAGTACATCTTCTCGATAAGAAGATATCTGCAGCAAGTCGAATGACCACAGCCAATCGCTGGATCTGCCTCGCAGCCAAACGGCACACGTACTCCACACATTTGGGCTGGTTTAGGCATTCCGTTTCGGCTGTTCCCGAAAAGGTTCTTCTCCGGACAGCAGGCCTTGCCTCCCGGCCTGTCCCCAGTTTTAGAACATGCACCTGCTTCGTCCGTGAGTACACTTTCTCACACTGGTCCACGGTGAAGTCCTTCGGCCCGGATGTCGCAAAATCTACGACTGGAACTGACTATAATTTAATGTGATATAAGGTACAGTACCATGGACTCTGCAGCCTGAAGAAGTTCTCAGATGGATGCAAGAGCTGCACGAACGAAACGTAATGAATGAACTCTTGCTGGCGAAGCGCCTGATGGACATCTGGTAGGTTGTGTATCCCGACAGCCCTCACCACCCACACAAACCTCGCAGAAGGCACTACCCAGGGGGATGCGGCCGATGGAGCAGCTGGTCAGCGGCTGTGCCTGCATCGACACGAAGTCTGCAGTCTGCAGTCGAAGTTTCCGTTTGCACTTCCCAGTGCGAACCTCACCCTCAACTGTATCCATCTCCAGCATGGAAGCGTTGACACTGCTGTCCTGACCCAGGCAAAGCCCGAAGTCGTTCACATGCATGGGATCCATGGCACTCGGAGATGTCATAGCACAGGTCCTGCGCCTGTGCATCGTAGCCGACGCTGACACCCTCAACGACTTCCTGCCAGGCCATGGTGTCCCAGGACGAGCATCTGAGCAGACGCTTGGGAGCCTCCGGAGGCTGGCATGGATGTCCACGCCGGCACGCGGGCTCAAACTCCGCCCAGCCTCCAGGAGGCTAGAAGCTCTGAGCTTTGGTACTGCGCGATTCTCTGCTTCTTTGCTTCCGGCTATGCAGTGGGTGAGGAGGCGGGTAACTGGAATCAATCCCAGCAGAGGCGACGAAACCCGTCCTCGAACAGGATCCTCGCAGTGGCCTACATTGCGAGGTGAGGCATGTGCAGTTCCCGCTCATGCCACCGTATGCTCTCAGCCCTTGGGCCCTGGCAGACCAAGCGACCGCGATCGCAAAGCACTGCCGGGATGCGGCCTGCAGGTGAACGGGCGTTTCTGACCCTGCCCTGGACGTACCCTTCGGGACGCGTCATTTTGTACTGATGCTGGAGGCAACCGATCCGTGAAACTTGAGACACGTTAGCTTGCGCCGACAGTATTAGGACACGGGTGAAGCACTGGTGTCATGGCCACTGGCGGCAACTGGCGACTTTCTCAGCCACGCAGTGCGCAAAAATGCCTGCCATCCTGTCTTTCCGATCTCAGCAGCAGCCGCTGGACTTCTTCTTCTTGCCCTTCTTGCTCTTCTTCGTCGGGGCGGCGGCCTTGGGCAAGGCAGAGCTGACGGCGGAGCCGGTCATCACAAAGCTCTCGCGAGCCATGTCCGTCATGTCGTGGGTTGCCTGCAGCTTAACGCTTCCAGCTTCAGACATGGTACCACGAAAGCAAGACGATCTGTGCGTCTGTATGGTGTAATTGTTCATTATCTCTCTAAACAGAAGAAGCCTGCCAGCCGTATCATCAGGACTCCTACCATCAAGTCAAGCTTCCTGGGGTGCTGTGTGGCCCTCCGGGTGGGCGGTCACCACGAAGCCTGGGGGAAGCGCCTCGCCGGGTGCAAACCACTTGCCCTTGGTGTGGTCCAAGCCGCTCATGACTTGCGGCGCAGTGGGCAGAGTGTATGTTTGCGGAGCCGGCATAGTGTACGTTTGCGCCGCTGGCATAGTGTACGTTTGCGAAGCGGGCATCGTGTAAACTTGCGATGCTGGCATAGTTTGCACGGCGTATCCGCTGTAAGCCGCCATTTCGGATGACATGGCTTCGGCCGGCATAGTGATCGCGGGCTCAGCCGCGTAGGTTTGCATGGCTGGCATAGTGTAGGTCTGCGAAGCTGGCAACGGCATGGCTTCGGCCATCGCGACGATGGTTCAAGCTGGGAATGCCAGTACAAAGCTGCGCTTTGGGCCAACGAGCCTGCTGCCAGCATGCCAACGTCCAGCAGTAGGGCAAGCTCCAACGCCGCGAAAGCGCGAGAAGGTTACCAAGCAATGGAACTTTCCAGAAGTCTTCAGGACACCGACACCGTGAGAACACAACACCACCGTCAAGGCAGGCCTCCAAGGCTCCAAACCTTGACCATGCCGACCTGTACCCAGGGTAGCTGTTGAAGCCATTGATTCAGATTGATATTCGTGTAGGTTTGATCTCATTGCGCAAATACGTTTGGCGATGTAACCATCGTGCACTAACCTATTCGCACTACTCCTCCTCCTCCTCCTCCTCCTTCCACTACCTTTTTGTAGAAATTGTAGAGGCACCTTCTCTGCCCACTCAGCTATAAGGCTTGTAATTGTGGGGAAAATGCTGACATCCACGTCGCAGTCACCCACAACAGGGCAGAAGCACTCCCGTAGACGAACCCATTCACACTCCTGTAGTTCTGTCCGCTCTCGTCTGCCAAATACGAACTGTATACAAGTCAAGCAATACTCCGGGGCCACTGGTTCAAATTCTTGATGCCTGCCTCATCAAACCAAGCTACTTGACGCTGTGCCAAACTTTCAAAAACATACCACTACAATGGAGTTCCTTATCATAATATTTGTAGTATAAGACACCCCATTACCCTTTTCCAATTCTTCTCCCTCTCTGCAAGCGCTGTTTTTGCCGGCACCTGTCGAGTGCTGCCATCTGCATAGCCTCGGCAACATGTTTTTTGCTTGGAGAATGCCTTGAAAGCAGCAGCTTAGCAAGCCATGATTTGAAACGAGAATATGACAGTTTAACACTTCTTCCAGTTCATGACAGCATGCGCAACTAATTTCAGTACAGTGTGACACTGATGTCCTGAGGCACTAACCGGCTGATGATGCGAGAAGAGTTTGCAGGATCAGGCAGGGCCAATGTCGCAACATGCTTTCACGCATGTTCTTCGTGATCCGATGTTCCGTTTTCGGCTTCTCTCTGCTCACAAGGGCTGCTGGATTATGTCAGTTAATAGGCTGACTCAACTTGGGGCTGTGTGTCTTCAAGTGTAGGCCCAGCTTCCGCGGAATTTCCAGATGCCTCAAAACTCCAACAACATCCGCCTGCAGCTAGCTTCAGTCCAGACCCTCTGAAGTCTCAGCGGCACGGATCTCGCCTTTTGGTGCTCTTGCTCACATAATTGCAACCCAGAGCACGTTCGAATGCAGGCGCCTCCTCCTGATTCACGCCGCACACTCGGAGGCTACTGGAGGAAGGTCCGCATTGCCAGACACTGTTGACTGTCGCAGTCGCTGCAAGCGGATCATTGCTACTAAGGTTCTTGCTCCGGAACAGCAACAGCAGCTAGAGTCGCTTGCTATCGCTCTACATGTGCGGCTCCGGGTCCCGGCTTTCTATTAACATCGTCCTGGGAGCTCTTGTACACGAGGGCTGATTGAGAAAGCGGGTCGCCGATCAAGTGGTCCATGCCTCAGCAGCTATCTGAGAAAAGCAACCTGAAGCCGGAGGCATTGATAGACAGTATGCTGAAGTCTTGGTGATGGTAATGAAGACGGCGGGTGATAGGTGATGGTGACAGCCCTATTCATGGCGATGTAGGTGGCGATGAAGATGATGATAATGATGGCGATCGTGGTATTTGCGATGGCTCGTCGACCATGGCTAGCTTGTGGAGTGCAATTCGGTGGTTGCCAGTGCTGATTTAATGCGAGCCCTGCTTTAACTTGACTTGCTTCAACATGTTCGTGAGACATGTCGATATATGTCGATGCTGATACTGCGCATGGTTGTTGCTACCGGGGGCTGATCATAAGCCTCGCCACCCCGACTGTCATGATTGCTCTACTGCTCCTGCGTTTCTTCAACAAACCCCTGATCAGGCATGACTGTCGGTACTGCTGATCGTGCAGATGTGTCTTCTGAATCTGCTGCTGCTTTTACTTTGGGCGGGTTCGGCTTACCGACCTACCAGTATGTATATGTGCGGCCGATGCCGAACTGCAAACAGCACCAATGACCTACACAGCTCTCCTGCGTCCTTCTGGCGCAGACTCTTTCTCTCGGCTGCAGGCAACAGTCGCAAGACACCACGGTGTCGTCATTCCAAAGCTCCTTGCGGTGGGAAAGCTCAGCCAAGACCTTCAAACTGAAGGACCTCGTTTAGGGCCGGGCATTGAGAATTCGTTCCGTTCACAAAGCAAGTAAGAAATACGTCTTTGCAGCTTTCGGCTGACGGTTCACCAACCTTAGGACACCAGGCTCCTTGTCGACACAGAAGTGGCTCTGCAAACCGTAGTCGTTCCCGCGCTTCACACTGACGTGGACATATTTGTGCATGGATCCAAAGAAACCTGCAAGGCGGTCACACAAGAACATAGGACGATCTGCAGAGCCGGTCATGTGCCGGGACAGTCAGTCGCCTGTGACCTCAAGTGCCCACAACCCTGTCACGGCGGCCTTCGATCTTCTCCCAGAGAGTTGCCCGCTGTTCTGTGATGTCTTCCCGGATGCCCTCCTTCGCCACCAAAGTAATGCAATGACCAGAAACTATTTCGACTGCATCTGAAGTCAATAGACATGACTGACCCAGACACGCAACCTCAAGCCTGTTTCATTTGCAAGGTCTGACCGGGGCATGTTCATTCACTGCTACAGTGGCCGACTCCGTGATTCCAAAAACACTGCATTGTAGTTACGCACCTCGACAACCTCGCGAACTCACCAAAGCTTCGAAGGGTATCCTTGCTCTGATGAACCACCGACACGAGAAGAGCTGGTGTAGATCCCTGCATCATCTACTTACTAATGCTAATCTTCAGGACTAGCATGACCCGAGGTAGTGGATGCCGATGATGCCAGTCGTCATGTCGATGGTACTGGCGCTGAAGATGATGAGGAGGAAGGTGTTGATGATGATGATGATGATGACTCTGGCTCATGCTCACGCCGCAGACTTTCAGATTTCAGAGGACGACGACGATGCTGACTGCAAGGCTGACGCAACGACGGCGACGATGTAGCGAGAGACCGCCAATACTGCGCACACCACTACGAGAAGGAGTGGCATTAGTTTTGAGGATCACTATGACTGCGCCTCATCAACACTTGCAATTGCACTGGCAAAGCCTATGTCATCTATGTCGAGGCGTTTCATCCTCCACACCTCCGCCCCCCCCCCCCCCCCCNNCTGTTGGTTGGAGGCTCCGCCGTTTGAGGCTGCTCGGGAGAAGAAGCGCCGGCCGAGCCCAAGAGGGCCGCTGCTGCAAGCAGCCCTGGGACATCGCATGACATCGCAGTGAGAAGCTCGATGTCACGGCTAGGTAACAAGTTCAGCCTTTGACTTCAAAAGCTTCGAGGTCTGGACCGCGCACTACTACCACAAACATCTCCATAAACACGACTATAGGCAGTGGTGGTGGTAGTAGTAGT